TGTAGCACTGAGGAGCAAAGAAGTTACTGTTTTTTGTTTTTGTTTTGTTTGTTTGTTTGTATGTTTTACAGAATCTGCTCCGTGCAAATTGTTTATTTTATTGTTCTATTTTATTCATTTATTTTTACTTTTTTGACACATGTAAAAAAAAAAAAAGAAGTGATTTTGATTGAATGATGTGACTTTAAGCTTTATTTATATATATATATATATATATATATTTAAAATAAAGATAACATGCCTTTCAAACCTGACAGACAGTTTTGGGGTCCTTGGGAATAAACCGTGACCACAGTATATTCCTAAACTTAGCTGAGCAGTTTTTTTGTGAATAATTTTGGTAACATTTTTACTGCAGTGAAAGCACAACATAAAAGAATCATTGGGATCGATTTCACAATTTGGAAAGGCACAGACAAATGATCACCCGTCAATAGGAGCACAATATATGAAACCCTTTATTGTAGAATTTTTAAGATACTTATTGTTTGTGATCTTCACTTTAGAGGTTGTTGTTTAGTCAAAAAACAGTCTATCATGCTATCATGTTGTTGGATGATTGCAAGGCTCAGCCTAAAGATATCATATGAGCACAACAAAATATGAATATAACTAGATAGTTCCATTATTTAAAAAATCAGCTCTGTTGGACTTTTTGCAAACCTGCGACCTCATCAGTCTGGTTTCTGGTCTCCTCAGATTGGTAGAATCACAGGCCAACCTTCATTCCACTGAGCAAGAGTAACACGTTCACACCCCAAGTCCTGAAGTCCAGCAGAAAAGGCTGGGGTTACAGCTTTTTGGCAAGAATATAAGTATAGAGTATTCAGTCATAGGTAACAATAATAAACAATCCTTTCATTACATTTCTTTGAGGCATTTAAGAAAAATATATCATCTGAAAGTTCTGCCTGAGGAGAACAAGGTGTCCGTATAATTGGCTTTGGATCATTGACTTCAGAAAACTAGTTCAATTACAATCTGTACTGGTCCCTTGATGCTACGCAGAGAAATTGTCACACTTTTATCACCAAATTATGCTTTTCTCTCTCCCAGTGGAAAAAGTGAGACTTACACTCTTCCTGACCAGGGAAGTGTGACCAATTAGCTTCTCCTCCAGCTGTTATCTGTGTTGCAGCACTGTATCCCTTACAGCCCAGCCTCAGTCAACCATGCTGCACACAGGAAGCTCCACTATTCACACGATATTCACCGACTCATGAAAGTAGGACACGTTGAACTCTTTTGCATTCGAGCCTCCTCGCTGTCAGCAAGTCGTGATGAAGTGGTTGTTGATACAGCAGAGAAGATCCATTCTCACGCTAACGCAGATCTGCTGCACCACCCTGGACTTCAGGTTTCCCACAGATTAGAGAAGCATGTGGAGGCATTGGATCAAACGGCTGCTGGTTTGAATTAATGTAAAATGGTGTGTATTAACTAGCTGATAAAGATGCTGTTGTATCTGGCGTGCAGCTCCTTATCAAGCCTCAGTGTTTTGGTATACAAGCAGCTGTTCAAATTGTTCGTTTTATCCCACAAATTAATGTATAAATTATACAATTGCAAAAGTCTGACATAGTCCTTGCATTGAAAGCTCAAAAAGTTCAACAAGGATTAAGATATGATATATTACTTTTCTGAACAATAAAGATGCTGGTATTTCAAATTTGTTTTCT